TTGCAAGAAAGGAAAAATAAATTAGCATCAGACCCCAGTTTTTTTGCTAACTTAATCCATGCAGTTGAGGTAGCAAAAATTTAGTCATGCATTGTCTAATAGCCATAATTAGATAAATTAATTAAATTAATTAAATCAAATCAAATCTGGTCAGACTTTTGGTGTATCAAAAAATTTAATCAACTCACTTTTTGTAAGGTTGGATCAAGATGGACGCTTAAAAATTAATCTTAGAATGGACAATGCTTTTTTAGACTTGGTTCCCTTCAATGAAGATGCCAAAAAGATGTCAATTAAGAATAAAGTCAATATGGGTTTAAATGCCAATTTACTGTTTGTAAAATGTAGAATTAAATACACTTTCCAAGCTTGCCGAGATGAGAATAACCCAAAAAGACCCAAGAGATTTCGCAAGTGTACTTTGGCTCGGTCGATTACCGTCGGTACCCTCAATTTGCGGTTAAATACGATATATATTCTGGCTCAACCATGTCTTCCAACAGATCTATTTGCCTAAATGTATGATTCCCACTCTTAAAACAGTCTATATTTCGTGTGAGCTGCTACGTTGGCTGTTTGTGTATTTATCGTGTGGTGTTTAAGCATTTATCTTGGTACATTTTACCTATCATTTCAGAGATGAGTGAATAGCCTAAAAATGGAATTCAATTGGTCTCTTTTTAATTAAAATTTCATCATGAAGCAGCCATGCAGAGATGCTTTTTCAGGTACTTTGAACGGTTAAGACGGTGATGCATGCTTACTTTGTTCAGCAAAGATTCGTTTCTCTGTGCAGGTGAGAAAGCGTCGCGACATTCGCTTTGCCGCCAATATGCTCAGCAACGACAGCAGACGACTATCTCGAGGCTGTGACTGTGAGAGGGAATGTGACACTCTCCTCTGTACCGCGGTGGAGGCAAAGATGCTGCCACGCGGAAGAATTGCGGGATTCGAGTGGAGGCTGAAGGTACCGGGAGTGGTGGAAGTGGAGGAGTGGTGTGGTTGCGGGAGAGGATTGCTGGCAGAACTATTCCGGCCATGGATGGCGGGAAAACTGAAGAAGCAACCGGCCGTGCTGTGCCGACCCGGCGTAGAAAAGGTAAGACTGGTAGCTTCGGCCGGGCCTGATCGGCCGGAATGCGTGGCTTTTGACCAGGAGGCAGAGAGTGGTACAAAACCGGAACTTGTTGCTTGGTCTGCCTGCAAACTGTGACCTGATCCGAGAGGGCGTGACTGTGGAAGAGACTCTTGTTGGGCAGAGTTGAACATGTTGGGCAAAAGCAGTGGTGAGGCTTTTCGCCTTCGCAAAAGTGAACTCTTGACGGAATCCTGATCTTCTGAATGGCAGGATAAGATAAAGGTGCTATAAGAATGTGGAAGCCAGAATATTAGAATTTGATAAAAGTGCAAAGGTTTGCCATAAATCTCAGTAATTAATCATTTATTTGATGATAGAATGGGATGCACAACCGGACTAGCAGTATATAAATGATAAATGCAATGCAATTACGCTATATACATTTTTGGGATTTAAACATTTGTATATATATATATATACTTTATATGCTTTGTCAACGAATCTACCCTCCTATACCATTACTATATTTTATATTGTATATAGTTCGAGTAAACCTATATATATGTTAATATGAGATGAATTTACCCAATTTCATTTAAGGTAATGAAGGACTGGTAGAAGATATACGTTTGCTTCATCGAAAATTCCACCAAGAGAATATGAAATGGCAAAAAGGTCTGGCCTTCCTTGAAAATTCACACCCGCCCTGTGACCCAAAAGGCGCTCATGGCAGTGTTGCCGAGTGGTTAGCGTGTCAAGTTCCCATCCTACACTTTTGCGCTTCGACTCCCGCTGAGGGTGTTGATAAGACCGATGCGAGGTCAAAACTGCAGTCCACTCCAGCCGGGATGAGAACAACTTTTGGAAAAACAAGGCTATGTGAAATTCAATGGAAGCGTCAGCTCACTCATATCATTGTGGGAAAATTCTTCTTCTACTAGCCCTTCATCACTTTAAACGAAATTGGGTTAATAGATCTCATATTACTGATTTACTGGTAGACACGAGAACAATACTTAATTCTAAAAAGAGATATATATCTTTTTAAAATTAAGTATTGTTCTCGTGACTACCAGTAAATCAGTAATATGAGATGTATTAACCCAATTTCGTTTAAAGTGATTAAGGGCTGGTAGAATAAGAATTTTCCCACAATGATGTGATTTGAGCTGACGTTTCCATTGAATTTCACATAGCCTTGCTTTCCTAGAAGTTGTTCTCATCCCAGTTGGACTGCTTTATGGATACTATTTGTAATGGGATACATTTTTATAGTCATCAAGTCATCCCACTTAAACGAAATAGGGTGAATACATCTCATATTACTGATTTACTGATAGTCACGAGAACAATATTTAATTCGAAAATATATTTATGTTGTTTGGCCTCAGTCTACCGGCGCATCGTCTGATCCGGAAACATGTATATCTCAAATATTATCCATTATGTTAGAGGTGCG